GATGTTGGATCTGACTAGCGCCAGCCCTGAATATAAGGTAAAGAGGCGATACCTGCTTTTCTCTAGACAACTCTCTGCAGGAAGTGCTGCCGATCTGGAGTTTCTGGCAGAGGAAAGATGACAAGCCTCAAGCTAGAAAGCCCAGGTTGAGTCCCGGTGCTGCGACTCATCAGCAACTCAAGCGGGTCCTCTGCTTCTGTGTCTGCAAAGTGGGGATTCTCTGTCCCTCTTAAAAAGCTGTTGTAAAAACTAAATGAGATAAAATATAAATTACTATAAAATCATCATAAGTATTACTATTGTCTGAACTCTCTTCCTCACCCAGCAGAGCCTAAAGGGAGAATTGAGGTGGGATACCAAGAAAAATTTTAAAAATAACATTCATATATAATCATACATGTGTCATATTTTATATCTGGCTTCTTTCATCATTTAGCATGTTTCAAGCTTCATCCATGTTGTAACACGTATTGGTACTTCCTTCTTTATTGCGGAGTAATATTCCATTTTATGGATATACCACTTGTTATGTATCCATTAATTCTTTGATGGACAGTTGGACTGTTTTCATGTTTCAGCTATTGTAAATAATGCTGCTATGACCATTTGTGCACAAGCTTTTGTGTGGACATAGGCTCAGGGCATATCAGAGAGTACACAGACAGTTGCCTGTGAAGGTCTGTCTGCTGCAGTGATTCCTTGAGAGGCTTCCTGGTTCCCATGCTGCCAGGCACTAGAGGCAGAAGTCATGGGACTTCCAAAGAGAGAAAGGTCAAGAGCCAGGCAGGCCCCTGCTGTCTACCTTCCCTTCCTCACTCTAATGCCAGGGCACCAGTCTGGACTTGCAAAGATTCATGATGAGCATCATTTCTGGTTGCTGAAGGAGTTGGCTTTGGTTTAGAAGCTAGATTCTGTTTTTTTTCTTAAATCCTCACCTTAGGATATTTGTTTTCCATTTATCTTCAGATAGAGTGGGAGGGAGGAAGAGAGAGAGAGAGAGTAACATCAATGTGAGAGAGGCACATCGATTGGTTTCCTCCCATATGGCCCCGACCAGGGCCAAGGACTGAACCACAACCAAGGTACATGCCCTTGACTGAAACTGAACTCAAGACTCCCTGGTTCCCTTGGCCGACGCTCTAACTGCTGAGCCAAACTGGCCAGGGCTAGATTCTGTTTCTTATCACCTTCAGCATGTTAGATACTCTTCCCGAGCTGCAGTTGTCTCATCTGGGAGGTGAAGCTAACAGTAACTATCTTGCAGAGTTTATTTGTGTCTGAGAGACAATGCCTTGAGGTAACCTGTTCAGAGACGCTGCTCAGCTAATGGATATTTGCATTATTCACAATTGCCTTATGTAGAGGATAGTTGAAGACAAAAGGGCACAGGTCAGAGACAGTTTGGTACAAAGCTCTTGGAATGAGTTAGCTATTTTAGAAACGTTTAAATCACGTTCCCCATAAGTATTCTATTAGTTTGAGAGGGCTGCCATAATGAAATACCACAGACTGGGTGACTTAAACAACAGAAATTTGTAGTTTCACAGTTTTGGAAACTAGAAGTCCAAGGTCAAGGTGTTGTCAGGTTTTGTTTCTTGTGAGACCTTTTTCCTTGGTTTGCAGATGGTCACCTCTCCGTGTCCTTGTGTGGCTCTGTCTTTGTGCACACACATCTCGGGTGTGTCTTTGTGTGTCCAAATGTCCTCCTCTTACAAGGATACCAACCAAATTGGATTAGGGCCCACCCTGATGGCCTTATTTAACTTAACCATGTCTTTAAAGACACTGTCTCCAATACATTCACATTCTGAGGTACTAAGGGTTAGGGCTTCAACATACAGATTTTCAGGAGACACAGTTCAGCCACAACAGCACCTAGGGACCACCTGCTCTGTGAACATAGAGGAGGAAGACATAGGCATTGCCCCAGACCCTGGGAAGACAGCAGAGGAAGCTTTAGACCTTGCCCACAGGAGACAGTCTTTTGGGAGAGACGGACATAAAAGCAGATCATTATAAAATGTCTTTTCTTCCTTTACCCTGTGTCTCAAGATTGAATTTGCAATCTCTGCAAATGTATCATTAAATATACATTCAGCTTTTTGACCCTCTCAGTAACCCCATTCAATCAACTACTAACTTTACAGGTCTTCACCTGCTAAGAGGAGAAAAATTTATCAGAGCCTGTTTTAGAAACAGGAAATAGACTAGGCAAGAACTCAGAAAACCAGGTCCAGAGTGAGGCAAAATGAACAAGTAGCTGAGATTGAAATTTGCCTTTAGATGCTTTTTTACCTCTCTTTTTGCCAAAGTTTTAGCAACCTCCAAACACAGTGAGCCAGAGGCTAACCAGACTCCTTGTGTGCCTAAAAGGCCAAATACAAGGCGGCTCCAACCCCTCCCCACCCCCACCCCACCCCATGTTGTTGCTCTCTGCTTTCCAGGGTGATCAAGGCATGAAGTAAAGAATTACTGAGCACTTACTGTGTGTTGGGCAATAATAATTAGACACTTTACAGGTCATCGAATTTAATCCTCAAAACAGCTCTATTCTCATTTTACAGATGTGGGGCTGAATGAACTGTGTGACATACCCAAAGTGACACAGTCAATAAATAGCAACCTTAAATGCAGACCTTTCTTCAAAAAGACCTTCAGACTCAGCTCTTAGTACAGCGAACAGCTGCTGGCGTCTGTTAAGATGGAGCCACGATGGGTGCCCTGGTTGTTAGTCTTAGGGTGGGTCCTTAGAAGCAGTGCCTGAGGGTGTCTGTGACTTACTGAGGGGGTGCTCTCAGGAGAACACAGAGGAGGAGGCGGCAGGGAAAGGAACCCAGCCGGTGTGCTCTCCGCTGGTCTGGCTTCAGCCTGACCCCACAGTGAGCTCTGAAGCACAGATCACCTGCTGAGCTGGCTCTACCTTGAGGAGAGAGCCATCTGTCACAGGCTGCAGGTTGTAGGGGCTAAGACCCCAGAGGAGGTGCAGCCCCACAGCCCCTGAGCACCCGACTGCTGAAGGGGAGCTGTCCTGGGCATTGATAGCTTCCATTTCTCACTGACTCCAGGGCAAACAATGCCTTGATCCAAAGGAATGCATCTTGGCCTTTTCATGTCCCATGACCAGTTATTGTAAGAGAGACTTTTGTATCAGAGGGTGGGAGCTGAGGGCTTTCAGGAACCCCAGGTTATACCTTATATAAATGGCTGTCTGATAATAGCACCTCAAGTCCCAATAGCATTTATTATTATTATTATTATTATTATTATTTTTTTTTAATCGAACCTACGACCTTTCAGACTAGGGCAGACATTCTAACCACTGGGAAAAACCAGACAGGGTGGTTCCTGCCTTTTATTTATTTATTTTAATTAATTAATTAATTTTTGTTTCAGATGTTTCTTCTTTTTCTCCCCTTGACTCCCTCCTCCCCGCTCCCGTCCCCCACCCTTCACAGTATTGTTCTCTATGTCCACTGGTTATGCACATGGCATAGAAGTCCTTTGGTTTATCTCTTCCCCCCTCTCCCCCCTCCTCTGAAGTTTGTCAGTCTGTTCCCTGCTTCCATGCAGTATTTGTTATTTAACAAAGGTATTCTGGTGTGCATTACTCGTTGTCATCACAAGCACCTCATGGAGTCCGCAGCAGGCTTCCTCAGCCGCACCCCACAGGGAGACGAAGTGGTTCAGGACTTCGATGTGACAAGGCAGGGCCTGCAGTGTGCTCTGGCAGGAGCCCTAAAGTCCCCCCGCCATTCCTTCCCCTGCTGGCTGGCTGGACTCTGAGAAGAGAACACCCCTTCCCTAGGGTGGGCGGACATCGCTGCTCAGGACTTTCCCAGTTTTAAAACTGAAAGTCTCACATTAGTGGAATCCCAGAGCCAATTTATCCACCAAACAGAAAAGGCGGTGCCCAGGGCTCAGGACACCTTTAGGGACCCACTAAAGGGTTCTCATTCTAATTCCTTTTGCCAGAAGAAGAAAAACATGAATATAAAGAAATAGTAATACACATATAATAGTGAAGCCAGCCTGGATTATTATTCATCTGTATACTAACACGGTCATAAATATCATTTTTAAGTGCGTGTGTAAAGGAAATTTCTAAAAATCTGATATGTCCTGGTGTGTTATCTGTTGAAATTTAAAAATGTATGTTACAGGGAAAAAAATTATTATTAAAAACAGGAGGAAGCCCATGAAAGCAAAAGCGCCCAGGATTCACAAAGCCATGATTCAGCCCTGGAAACCCAGTCTCCTCTGGGCAGAGCGGGACTGTGGCTGCCATAACCCTTAACAGCTTAGAAGTGGTGCTTGGTCGCAGCCAAGAAACCTCGGGCTTTCCCAAGCAGTGGTTACCTCAAATCCCCGTTTCCCAGATCGGCGACTGCCATGCCTCCAGCTGCTTCCCTTCTGGCCTCACGTCGGTTGCCTGCCTTGGGGAACTCTAGTGTGTGGGCAGTTCCATGCCTCCTTATATTGACATGACCAGACACTTAGCTTACTTATCTTTTTGTCCCCAGCTCCTGGCTCAGTGTCTGACAGATCACAGGCATTCAATGCACATTTATTTTTATTGTTATATTTTTCACCATCATATATATATATATACACACACACACACACACACACACACACATATATATGTGTATGTGTATGTATATATATATTTATTTGTTGTTGACAGTATTATACATGTCACCCATCCCCCTACACACATTTGTTGATTGAATAAATGGATTAACTAATGGCCTGATTCAGCCAATTGTTTGTTCTATAACAATGGGGACACTAAGCACTCTGGGTCTCAGTTTCTTCCTCTGTAAGATGAACACAGTGGGATAGATGAACGCTCAGGCTCCCGGGGGGCACTTCTGTCCTGTATTCATTACATCAGGTCCTGAGACTGCCAATGCCCTTGAAAAACGTGTGTTGTTAGCAATGGAAGAGTCCCTTGTAGATGCCTAGAGTCATCGTGTTGTCCCCACCCGTTTTTCTTTCAGATCTGTACTGGAAGGTAGCATGTCCAATTCTTCCATAAGGACAACGCGTGCAACAGGAAATGGTAACGTAGATGATTTTTCCCTTACTCAGAAAACTGAAACGTCTCGGGAAAATAACTCACAGGCCCTAATTATTTTATATAGATACTGAATGCTTGGAAGCAACCATCTTATTTAATTAGCATTGCTAAAGTTAGGCTGGAAAAAAAAGTGAGAATGCAACAGATTTTACTCATATAATTGCAATTCAAAGATTTAAAAAATTTTTTTATTGGTTTTTAGAGAGAGAGAGATAGAAACATTGATGTGAGAGAGATACATAGATCGACTGCCTCCTACATACCCCCTCGTGGGGATTGAGCCTGCAACCAGGGCCTGTGCCCTGACCGGGAATTGAACCGGGACCTCTCAGTCCATGGGACAATGCTCAATCCACTGAGACTCACTGAAAGGGCTCAAAGATTTTAAAAAATAAAATCAGTAAAAATATCATGTTTTATGTGTGACCTTCTGTGTTTCTGGCTCCCATGAGATCAAAGAATTGACTTATTTATAATCAAAAGCACCAGAACTTATTGACTATTATTTAGTAGTTGCTTTTAAAATGGTCCTCTGTGTAATTCTGAGGCATCTTTCTTTTTTGAGTGGCATGCCACCCACTAAGCCCGGCCCTTGTTTACCCCAGGCTGGTGGTTCTACATTCTCGGGTGCCAGACGGGGCCTCGGGAGCTGCATGGGCAGTTTCAGTTGGCACCTGAGCACTTATATGTTATCTTTGATGACAGGGTGTGGGATTTGTTTTCTCTTGCTGGTGCATCCTACTTTGAGGCAGTACTGGACTTGCCAGCCTAGAAAGTTGATGTTGGCCAATCAGATGCACCTTTCGAGATTTCCAGGTTAACAAGCCCACACCCAACTCCGTGCATTTACACCTCCCATTCTTTCATTTTTCTGTTGATAGCTATGAAGAATACTACTCAGGGGACCACAAAGAGACAACAGGAGTTTCTTGAGGTGAACAAAAGAAGGACTTTCTTACAGGACAACAGCTGGATAAAGAACCGTCCTGAAGAAGAAAGGTAAGAGGGTGTGGAGTGGGTGGATGAGTAGAGAGAAAGCCATTCTCTGTTTGGGAAGCTAATGGCCATATAAAAAGTGAATGCTTTCATTCTAAAACACTTGGTTGCATGGCCTAATTTTTGGTAAGATTTATTAAGCATAAATTGGTGACATAGGTTTTTAAGAACATCACTACCATTTCTATGTCTATATACCTAAGAGGATGTGAGTCACTGGGAAGAGAAAGGAGTGTTTCATTGTTATAACTAAATAGATGTTTGTGGTAGGGAGATTTCTAGTGCATGTTGATTATGTCAGTGAAAACAAACACGGAATAGTATGATTGCACATTTGCACATGTAATAATAGTTTTAAATAATTTAAAATAAAGTTTATGCACAATTAAAGTCAATAAATTCTTTACTTATTTTAGTCCCAACTAGATATACCTTTAGGTGGTGGTAAATAAGGTATTACTTCATAAGAAAAAAGACTTACCATTCAGAAAGTTTTGTGTACTTTAAGCATGATTTTAAAGCTATGATCATAGGCATATTGCCTTCTTGCCAGCATAGATTTACAATAGACATTTGTCCATCCCAGATATATATTTATTATAAATTATGTATATACATATGCACACATTTTTTAATTCCCTCTTATGTGTCAGGCTTGACACTCAGTACTTTACATATCAAGCATTACTAAATCTCACAACAATCACACAAATGGGTTTTATATCTTCATTACACAGATGGGAAATGTGAGCCTCAGAGAACTTAAGTAACTTGTCCAATGGCACACTGCTACTAAGTGCAGTTGAGTTTTTCTTTTCTGTTTTTTTTTTTTTTATTGATTTATTTGAGAGAGAGAGAGAGAGAGAGAGAGAGAGATTCATTTTTTTCACTTATTTATGCATTCATTGGTTGATTCTTTTTTTTTTCTTAGTCCTTACCTGAGAATATTTTTTCATTGATTTTTAGATAGAATGGAGAGAGAGAGAGAGAGAGAGAGAGAGAGAGACAATGATGTGAGAGAGACACATCAATTAGTTGCCTCCAAAGGATCGTGACTGTTGCCGGGGTCAAACCTAAAACCCAGGTACATGCCCTTGATTGAGAATCAAACCCATGACCCTTTAGTCCGAGGGCCAGTGCTCTAACTGCTGAGCCAAACTGACCAGGGCATTGGTTGCTTCTTGTATATGCCCTAACAGGGAATCAAACCCACAGCTGTGGTGCATTGGGACAAGGCTCCAACCAACTGAGCTACCTGCCAGAGCTGGAGTTGAGATATTGTGACCATTATTTTTCCATTATACTAATGGCTTTTAATCCAATCAGGGCAATTTTACCCCCAGGGATGTTTGGCAAGGTTAAGAGAGACATTTTAGTTGTCAAAAAGAAGGAGTATTCCTGACATCCAGAGGGTAGAGGCCAGGGATGCTGCTAAACATCCTATAGTGCACAGGACACAAAAATTTATCAAACCCATAATGTCAGTAGCACTGAAGTTCAGAGACCCTGCATTATGGAATACTTACTCTAAATTTACAACTAAACTTTATTGACCATTATGTTCAGGGACTACAGGGGTATTTGGAGACGCACACTAACTTTTAGAATTAACACTCTTGAGCAGCAATTATTTCCTTCCATGAAGCAACAGTTGTCACTTCTGTCAGAGCCTACGATGGCATTTCTGTGTTTTTCATAATGGTAGAGTGATGTCAAATGTAGAGCATACATTTGGGGTTGCAAATATTTGCACAGATGGGTGAAGATAGAGATGTCTAAGACAAATTGCAGTTGGCAGGAATGATGATTTTATGCCAAGCATGCCTCCTTCAAAAGACCCAGGGAAGCCAGCTCGGGTGGAATGGCAGCTGCTGAATGAGGAGAAATTGGCTCTGATGTGTCTCCTACTCCCACTGGCCCAGCTCTGGGCCATGTGTTATAATTTTTCTTCAGGTGACAACATTCCTGGTGTCTGCTTCTCTCTCATGACTTTAGAGAAGGCTACTAACAGGGAGAAAAAAGTTCTCTTGGGATTTTTGAGGGTGTATATTTGCTGAAGCTCTTTTGCTGTGCTTTCTTTTTAATCGTCTACTATAGTTTTTTTTTTTTTTTTAAATACATCTTTATTATACATGGTTTTAAAGTGTTGAGTAACATTAATGGAACAGAAGCCGGAGAAATGTAGTATTTCAGGTTTGATTGGGTTGACATGAGAAAGGTTCAGGTACTTACTCTGCCTTGGCTCGAGACCAAAGGCTCTACTACATGTTTTGACATTTCTGAAGTTGCCTGTATTTTCAGGTCTGCTGTACAAAGTAAGAAGGACATGGCTTTGGGCTTTTCTGTCTGGTGCTCTTTTGTAGGGTTGACCAATAGGAAATGCAAAGGTTTGGAGAAAAATGATCTCTATCACTTGCTAACATTTTGGCCTTAGGAAAACCACAAAGAGTGTATCTTTGTGAAGCATACAAACCGAACAAGAACTTTTATTAAATTTTAAATTTTTTTACTAATATTTTTGAGAGCTATTTTAAAGCTATAAATTAAAATATAAAGTGTCTAAAAATAAAAAATAATAATGATAAAAAAGAAAGCCACAAAATCCCTGTCAATTTTTTTATGTGTGAATTGGAAAAGATAGTGTCTTCCCTGCCTAATTCATAGGGTTAAAGACCAAACAGAACAGACTTTGTATTCTCATGGTTCAAAACGAGCTAAATCTCCTGTGAATAATTACCAAATAGTAGTAACTATTTTCCTTGACTCTTGTCAAGGATAACTATCAAGTCCATAAAATGACAATGTCCTGACATATGGGCTCAATGAAATGCAGAACATTTTTATAAAAAATGTTTGCCTTCCTGCAGAAAGTGACTCTCCTGACATCCACAGGTGGATGGCCTGGTGTTCTCTCACTCTAATGGAAAATCAAAACAAAGCAACAAACACTTATTCCATTGTTGAATCACATGGAAGTCTCGTGGGATAAATTAGAATAATGATCATTTGTACTGACATACTTGTTTCTTCCCACCATGCGCTTTCAAGTAGTGACTGGTTAAAATAAATACGTAGTTGTGTTTTTATGCCTGGAGTAAAATGAATTAACCTTGCCAAAAATGGTGAGCTGTTTTATGTCTCCCTTATTCAGTGCTTACTAAATACTGTGGTAACTTTTCATATGACTTCATTTTGTTCTTTCTCTGCAGAGATGAAAATTATGGTAGGGTGGTGCTCAACCGACATAACTCCCATGATGCCTTGGACAGGTGAGTGTTTCAGACAAGTTACATCATCAGCAGAAGCACAAAGGTGGTAGTTTTTGGGAAGACTTATTTAAGACAGGCTGGATATTTGCGGCTGCCCTTGGGCTTTCCCTGACATTCTGGGCACGTGAAGGGTACTCTGATGTCATCCGTGGTTTCCACAGCGCCCTGCTGCATAGCCACAGCTCAGAGTGGAATAACCAACCCTGGACTCCCGGCAGGAAAGGGAGAGGGCGTCCACAGAGACACGACCAGATGCGGTACCTTTGAACCTTAGGGAAAGGAACCCTGAAGTACAGACACAGCAACTCCAGAATTCACTTGCTTTCTGGGAGAGTACAGTCCTCGTTAGACACTTCTAGGTTTGCAGAAAACCAGTAAATGATATTCAGTGGCAAATAGACTGACGACGACAAACCAGTAAAAGAGTTCAGACAAAACTAGTAATCATAATGATTTAAATAATCTAATGTTGATCAAATAAATAGATAACATCCTCATTAGAACACATTTACACGAGCACACACAACCACACCCATCAGAAGAATGCAGTTATTTATCGGACAGAAGTCCTATCTGGCCCGGTAGCCTGTGTGTCACCATGAGGTACCTAGTGAAGGAGTGCGATCGCCTCGCCGTGTGGTCCTTGGAGAGTTAAGTAGACACCTTGAAGGTGACTATTTTGGAAATTTTATATGTAAATTTTTCTAAGTTCTTTAAAACCTGGTGATAATTTTTGCCTGTTGTCAGGGTCCTGAGCTTATAGCCCTCTGCACACAGTATCTGGTTTCCCGGTTCCCAGCCTCAGTTGACCTGACTGAAGGACTGCTCTGTGATTCGGCAGATGCTCCCTGTGCCTTCTCCATGGTCTTCATGATTTTCAAGATCACAGCCTTGTTCTCAATGGGCCCCACATCACCAAACACAGGGAGCCTGACCCTCGAGTCCAGCCACCAGTGGAAATTGCTCCCTCCATTTTAATGGCCCTTCGGTGGAACTGCCAAAAAACAAACGTACTTGTTTTGAATTGTGACTGGTTAAACTAAGCTTTATGGTCTCTGTGTTTTAGGATAACAAAAGCTTAATGTCTTCTGTGCTTTTTTTTTCTTTATTGATTTTTTTTTTTAGAGAGAGAGAGAGGAAGGGAGAAGGAGAGAGAGACAGAAACATCAATGAGAGAGAACATCAATTGGCCCCTCCTGCACATCCCTCTCTGGGGAATTGGGCCAAAACATGGGCATGTGCCCTGACGAAATTGGACCAGCGACCTCTTGGTGCATGGGTTGGCGCTCAACCACTGAGCCACACCAGCCGGGCCTGTGCTTATTTTATATGTGAAACTATATTGGTTACCTGAAACCTTCCTGTTGGTGGACAGCATTTTGGCTTAAGCAGCACTGAGCTTTCATCTTCAATAACAAAACAAAAAAAATCTTTATGCCCAAGACATTTTCTCTTTGACCTACATCTAGTGTTTCAAACTACATTTTCCAAAAGAGTAGTGCAGATGACTTCTCCTTGCACTTGCTCAAATGGACGCCCACGTGACATTTTGGGCCTCTTTGCAGAGGCTGCATCCACTCTGGTGTTTACTCAACACCACTTTGGAGTACCTGCTGGGTGCTGACGTTGTGCCAGCTGCTTGGAATATGACGATGCAGAAGACACCACCCTTGGCCTTAAGGAGCTCTCATGTTCATGAAAAAGAGATGGCTCTATAAACTAAAATACTCAGTAAAAGTTACCATGGAAGGCAGTATTATAGAAGTGTGTGCAAGTGCTTTGGGGATTAGAGAGGAGGGAGAGACTAACTGCCTGAACACAGGACATGGTCATTGGTGTTGGTGCTGCTGCTGAAGGATGGGGAGGAAAAATTCCCAAGTAGGAAAGGGTGGCTGATGGGCATGAGGCATGGGAAGATGTGCTCCCTGCAGAGGTTACAGTGTGTGCAAAGAGCTCCTCATGAGCAGAGACTGAAAATAAAGAAAGACAATAGCACATCCTCATCGCCCCAGAGAACAAGCTTCCTCTTATCACAGGTGAGGAAATTTTACTGTGTAGATCTCTGCCAGATCATTAAAACATGTCAAATAAGCACAAATGATACTTGCACAGATGACTACATTGAGCCAGATACCTTTGTGAGGTCTGGGAGCAAAACAAAATCCCTGCTGTTGTAGAACTTGCATCCCAGTGGAAGATGGAGGAGGCAGGGACTGAAAAAAACAAAAACAAAAACATAAACCCAGTATAATATGTTCTATTGTGATAATTGCTGGGAAGATTAAAGCCGGCTAATGAGATTTCAAGTGACAGCATCTGAGAAGGGGCTGCTTCTGGAAGGGGTTGGATGGCCCTGTCGCCAGAACCTATTTGCACTGATGCATTATATGCAGGGATGAACCATAGCATGCTTTTACTCTTAGTTTCCTTAAGAACCTAAGGAATTGTGTTAGGCATTTTCCTTTTTCTTTCTGCCTTAATGGACACTACTCTCTCTATTCTGTTTTACTGTGTCCACCTTTATGTGTCCTCCAAGGTCCCACTCTAACTGCACCTCAGCCACAGGACTTCTCTGATTCCTACCTCTGGAAATAAGCTTTCTCGACTTAGAATTCCCTTGTACTTTACTTGAACCTCGTTTAAGATACAACCACTTCCTACCTGTGGGTGTAGAAAGGTATCTAGTCTGTCCCTCTAGCTGTGTGTGTGTAGGGTCCACCATTATTTCTTTCTTAATTTTCTCATAGTCATTGACACTGTGCATTAGGCAGTTTACTTCCAAATATTTGCTTAATAAAACTATACAACATCAAGCTAAAACTTAAATCTAAAATATACTGTATTAGGACTTTTTACTGATTCAATACGTTTGATCTGTTAGCTTAAAATGATGCTTTAATATGCAAACACACAATGAGCTTGCTTTCCCTGTACCATGGGTTTATACAAGGCAATAAATAGGCCATATATATATATATATATATATTTTTTTTTTTTCTGAGTAATCATTCTGATCAAGATAGTTTCACTCCTTCGATGATTGTAATTCCTACCGTTGAGACTTCTGTCCTCTCTTCCCTATTTGTTTCTCTCTCTTCCTCAACTCTCTCTGTCTTTGGTTTCTTCTCTCCCTGCTTCTCCCTATCTCTCTTCCTTTCTCCTCTCCTTCTAACAGCCATCTGTTCTCTCTTCTCCCACTTTCTTTCTTTTTTATTTCTTTCCAACTTTCCCGTTTCTCGTTTCTTTCTTTCCTCTCCTTCCCTCCCTCTGCCAGTATGTTCGCATCTTCCAACCCTGTCCTCGGTGCTGAACTTTAAATAAAGCGATTTGTGATTGACCTGTTGTGCTGCCTTATGTGCGGCTAAAACTCTGCAAACAAAATGTACTTGATTGTGAGAGACTGAGTTTCTATTATGCAAACATCGACAACATTGGCAAGAGTTATATTTAACATTTTGCATGTAGTGTGGTTTCCTCAGTCGGAGTATGTTACATTTCAGTGAGAAGTAAGTGGACTTAGAAAAGAATTCCTTTATTAGCACGAGGAATTGAGTTTGCCATAATTTATTTTTCCCAATCATAACCTTAGAATATTTGGATACTTCAAGTCTGTCTTTTATTGATAACATATACATCTACTAAATAGGTCAGAATTTTACCAAATGCATGATAGGTTTTATAAACTATTTTTCGGTAATTTATTTGATTTGTCTTTGCTATAGGAAAGCAAATGAGTTAAATGAGCGAAAAGCCACAATCAGCCGGTACAGATCTGATGACACTTTGGACAGGTAAGGCATTTTGAACTATGTAATCAAAATGCATAACACATCTTAAATCCCATTTCTTATAAAGCATGAGGTATTTAGCTGTTTACCAAGGTAAGCTTTGAACCATGTTATTTTATATGCAGGTACAGAAGGGATACAAGAATTACATTATCTTCTTCAACACAGAAAACCTTCACTTGATAACACTGTATTTCTAAAATCCTGCTAATAGTGGATTGATAGGAAAGAAATGTAGAAACTGTCTTGAGTATAGGTAGGGTGGATTGTGTGGAGTCTGTTCAATCTAAAGTGGAGAATATAATATTTGTGAAGATGAGTTTTCAGTTCTTGTTGCAACTTTTGGTCTTTCAATCCTGATGGTGGAGAAATAATAGTTTCTGCATGAGTACTTTATGGAGAGAATATAAATAATAACATGATAGTTTTTATTTATTTATTTTCCTTGACTGATTTTAGAGAGAGAGGAAGGGAGAGGGAGAGAGAGATAGAAACATCAATGAGAGAGAACATCGATTGGCCGCCTCCTGCATGCTCCCCACTGGGGATTTGGCCCACAACCTGGGCATGTGCCCTGACTGGGAATCGAACCAGCAACCTCTTGGTGCATGGGTCGACACTCAACCACTGAGCCATGCTGTCCGGACAATAACATGATAGTTTTGATCCACTCTAGGATAAAGACATTAGCTCTTTACTTTAGAGAGTGAAACTACTCACCATGTGGTTCATTAAATTAGCTCATCATGCTATTCCTGTTGTTAGGAAAGGGCTCATGTCTATAGAGAAAATTGAGAAATGTCTATTTGAGTTCAAGTGTCAGTGCTACAAATCACATTTACATTTGTATTTGGTAGAGATGCAAGTAAGCATAAGTCAAGAGCAAAGTTAACATCTTCACTTGGAGTCTAGAATTTGGGGGATGAGGCCAAGCACCTGATGCCTCAACACCTGAGGCCATTGACAGATGAGGTCACTCCCTGTACTAAAGATGTACTGTTATTGTAGACAAAGATACTGTCGGCTGCATTTAAAGCTGATATGCTGAAATTTATGGGATGAATTTGTTCTATATTCAGACTATGCCAGTGTTAATTAATGTAGCAAATGTATATGCTTTAGTCATAGGTTTCCAAGTCAGTCTCCCTAAAGGAGGATGCTCTGCACTGGTATCTCTAAGTACCTCTCCTGTAGCTAATAGCCTTGACAGAGATGAGTTTATAGAAGTATATGTGCTAGATCTCATCTCCATAGCACTGAGTAGAGACAGGAGTCAAAGTCCTATTGCATCATTAAATGAGAAGAAAATGTCTTTTCTAGGAATGAACTTGAAAATGAGACATTATACCTCAAGAATGGTAAATATGTGGGAGACGTAAGCCTTTGTAGGCTCTGTGTTTGAAAGTTTATCAGGCCAGTCAAGATAGAGCCTTGGAAATCAGGCGTGGACCACACCGGACCACACGGGCACCCTGGCTGAGCCCCCCTCACAGCCCCAGCTGCACATCAGAATTACTGAGGGAGCGTTCAAACTTCACTGATAACTTGTCCCAACACTTCTCACCCCCCAAGTTCAGATTTCATTAGTCTGAGGTGGGACCCAGGCATTTTTTAAAAAGCTTATGAAACGATTCTAATGTGCAGCCAAAATTCAGAACCACCATCATAACCCCAATCCTTCATTTTATATGCTAGAAAATAAAGCCCGAGGTTACCTACTTTATTTACACAGAAGTTCAGTGGCACTTTTGGAAAAAATATCCTGGCCAACTCATTTCTCAGGCAGTCCTGTCTCCCAACAGTAATCTCTATCTCTCAGTGTGGAAATAAAGGGAGGGAGAGGACACAGGCGTCAGTACAGAAAAGCAAGTCCTGTTAGTAGGAGTTTGACCCCAGAATGCCGGCCACTCCTAATGCAAGATGTAAAATAATTTTAGAAGGAAGGTGATAAAGTATATCTGGTGTGTGCATGTATGTACATTTCAATAATGTATTTATTTTTAATGAAATAATAAAAATACTAAGTTTATATTTGAAGAGTTTCCTTTAAAATTTACATATGTAGGTAAAACTATGAAGTGTTCTAAAGAAACAAGTAAATAATAGTGTATGTAACATGTTGTATGATCTAAATCCTGACTGTGATTTAATGACTAATTTGGAACATCTAGAGTAGGGCGACCTCTAGTGTTTTGTTGTGGAAGTGTAACCCCCTTTTAAAATAATACTGCTAATAGCATGATTTGAGTATTTCCTGTCTCCAAGACAATTCCTATTAAACAACCTATTTCAGATCACAAGTTGTCAGAAACTTAATTTCCAAGAAAAGCACAAAGGTAATCTCTGTAAGTAATAAGACATTGATATAAATTGGAATGGTAGTTTAGAGTTCTGTCCATGATTATTCACAGACTGGAAGAGATAGTGGAGGTGAAGAATAATAACTGAAGGAAGATATGAGTGTTGGAACAATCACACAACGAAGTCAGGTGTATGATGACATGGGGACCTACTAGGAAGAGTTTGGAGGTAGATTACTTATTAGTGTCGTGGCTAAAAGAATGTTACCCACCTTCTTGGAGACTCCATTTCTTCACCTATAAAATAAAAATCATTGTACTTATATTGTAGGGATGTCCTGAAGAGTAAATGAAAATGTATAAAATAAGCAGTAAAGAGTAATAGATAGCTATTTTTTCTTATTTCTTACTACATAGGCTTACACTGTAAAATTTTGATGAAATTATCATCAGAACTTTTGTTTAAACTTTGAGAAGATTTGGTTTTGAGGTTCTGTTTGCTTTAAACTGACTGTTGCTTTCAGTGTTCCAGAGTAGCAGTTTCCCAAGATGGTTTTTATTTTATATGAAGTTCTCATAAATAGCTCTAAAGTCTGAGTAGAATTTCCCAGGAACATTTAAGATTGAAGATTACCTGACAGCTTACTTCTGGTATTCACAGGGATTTACTGCGGAGTCCTTTAAATAGGAACATCTTGCAGGCTCAGTAGCAGTTAGTGCAGGGGATATATTCCGTCTTTGCCTGATGGTCACCATAGGAGCTTTTTATACGTGGATTCTAGGATTCTGCATGTTAATGCCTGCATTGTGAACACTCAGTTAAGAATATGAACCTCTGGAGGATTCCAACTTTCCTTCCCTTTTGCATTCAAAAGTTATCAGGTTGTGGCATTATTTACCACAAACAGAAACTGTGTTTGGGGTTGACTCATAAAATGTTAATGTATTAGCATTATTTACACAATATTTTAGTTCCCACATGTCAATGTGACATCTAGAAATTTAAGTTATTTTAAACAAATGACCATTAGGTCACATGTTTTTAAGTGTGAGGCATAGTGTCCATCTTCCCAGAAACAGTTGATAGAAAGCCCTGTACTAAAGTTGACAGTGAAGGGAAAGCTTAGAGAAAGTTATAGTAGACCCACAGTGTGGGGTCAACAGAAGAGTCTCACTGGCCTTTTTTTCCTGAGCCTGATTTTGCTTCATCCTAGTTTTGTGAAGACAGCCCCCATCCCAGGAAGAACCTGGTGAGAGGGAAAGAAGGGAAGAAACAGGGGTTGCAGTCATGAGCTCCCACCATGGGCGTGGAGACTATTATATTTTTAATTTGTCTTTCCTGGACCCAAGAGACAGACAAACACACTCTTTCCAGACCCACTCTCCTTGAGGAGAGCTGAGATTAGAGGGATTAACCCTTTAATGGTCAGTAGGCCCTATTAACGAAAAGTAGTAGTCAAAGTGAATTAATTCACCAGGGTAATGTAACACTTTTAACAAATTCCCTCTCTTGCCCCACATCTCTATGGTTTAGCACAATAGATTACAGCTTGCTCTCACCAGTTCAATGTGATTCGCTGGAAGAATAGGGAATGTCTCTGCTCCACAAAGTGACTCAGGGACCTACGTTCTTTCCATGATTTCTTGCTGCCTTCTTCAATCCATGGGCACAAATCTACAATGGAAGGAGAATAACAAGCATGGAGTATCCTGCAAGAGGTTTTAGGATGTGTCTGGAAGTGGCAAATAACATTTCTGCCCACAATTTTTTAGTCTAGAATTCAATCACATGGTCCCAAATTAATTGCGAAAAAGATTGAGGAATTTGGTCTTTCTCTGTGCTCAGAGGAAAATAAAATGAGTTTGGCAAACATATAGCATTGTCTATACCACAAAACATTTGAGAAATAGTTAAGTCTTCCCCTGATGTATTTTACCATCACAAAAGGTACCATCAGTGGCTATATGTATTATTAAATAAAAATGCTCAATGAATCAGAAAGGCTAATTGAAAAGCATGAACTTTAAAAATTCCAAACGCTATAAAAATTGCCTCATAAATAGATTTTTGCCACAAGTAGCTTTTTTATTGTAAAATTTTCTAAAATGTAACACCTGAAAAACATTTCTTTTTACTAGAGAAAGGTTATATCTTGAAGTTATTCTAGCATAAAAGAAGTCTAAAGGAAGCTTAATAATGTAATGTTCATACACTCTTTTGTCTTGTTTCTTTATAAAGGATCTCAGACAGACATGATGCTGCTAAAACACAAAAGGCCAATGCCTTGGATAACCAACTAACCAATAGGTACCAGTATCTACTAACTTTGGGAAAGGCTTGAGTTTAATATTTTTCTAAGCATTACTTATTTACTTACATTTCTTCAATTCTACTTAATATCTTTCAGTACATTCTTATACTCTTTTTTTTTTTTTTTTTTAAACACAAAAGTCTGGAGTAAAAACCTTCACTCCTACTCATGGTTAGAGAAAAATGAAATCTTGTTGCCTGGCTTAAAAATCAGGAGAACGCATTGCTTCACGCCATCCTCTCCACATTTCTGTTTCTGTCTCAGTGATCCTGAAGGAAAGATTATGAAATACATGGAAATGTCAGTATTTTTATTCTTATTGCTAAACAAAGTTATTGGAAAAATACTGAATTTCCTGAAAGAAAAAAATTCCTTTTGCGATAGTACAAGACATGAAAAGATTATAAAATCATGTCACCAAATTTATTCAAATACTGATGCTTCCCCTTTCTTTCTCGCAGATAACATCTAACCCTTAACCGTCAAAATTCTAAATTCATGACAATTTGAAATAGATACAAGTACATATTAATTATTCATTGCTGCTAAAACTTTGCCTTTTTTGTCTTATCAGACACATGTCCACATTTAGATCACCAGAAGCAACAAAAATGTAAGTAAATTTTCTAACTGAAATTACATTTGTAGAATAGAGTGTATTTCTTTGTATGTGTTCAAAAAACAAACAAAAAAACCCCAGGTATACTGCCCTCAGGCCAAAGTTTAATTGTAATATAGCCACACCCCTACCTGCTTAGGCAGAGTGAACTAGAAAGACTGAAGTGATCTGCAAAGCTTCCAACATTTACTATGTGGACTTGAACAGAAAAGTTTGCTGACCTCTGCTCTTAACCAAACAACAAAGCTTAACTCTTTTTTTTTTCTTTTCTTCCCCTGCATTTCACATGCCTCTCCAAACACCCATTACATCTACAACTCACCTGAGTCATGAAATCATGGGTTTGTTAACACTCTATTTAGATAAAATATGTTTTCCCCGGAATATACCATTGGCATTTATAAACTAAAAAAGCTTTTTTTAATCTAGGAAATATTCATTGATTTTAGAGAGAGGAAGGGGGACAGAGAGCAAAAGAGAGAAACATTGATGTGAGAGAGAAATATCTATTGGTTGCCTCCCATCCAGTATTGAATCCACAACCTAGTTATGTGCCCTGACTGGGAATCAAATTGCAACCTTTTGGTGTACAGGATGACGCTCCAACCAACTGAGCTACCTGGCCAGAGCCAAACTAGGCAGATTTTTGAAAACTCGATTAGTTTTTTAATTTGTATTTACACGTAAAGTAATTTTTACACTGGACTGAATCTTTCAATAGTTGAAACAGACCTGGGTCACTTCTATTTTTTTTTGAAGGCCTGTGTATATTAATAAATACCAAACAGAGATTAGAAATGGGATCATTCTTAAATATTTTCTTAAACAAAATAATGCTTTTAATGCAAAAAAACATTGCAGTCTAATTTTCAGTTACAATATATTTACAGGATTAAAATATTATATGTATTATTTAATGGAGATATATATATATCTCCATAGCACACCCGAATTGATAGATCTGGATTTCGGACACACAATTGATGTCATAAAACAAATATCTTTATTCAGTGCCCTCGGTTTTAGTTACTTAGATGAGAACCTGTCAACTTATAAAATGGGCAAACGGAGGAAGAATTTTGTTGTTCCTCTACCTTCAAGTGAAACCATCTGTGGTGGATGGAGAGCAGTTGGGAGTATAATAAGACCTTTAATAATAAGACCTATAATAATAAGATTATAAGACATTTAAAGGCAGGATAGAATGAAAAAGTTTCAGGAATGTGAGTATTTGTGTGTTTTTTTGTGATTTAACAGGCGACCTGGAGATTTTGTCAGTGCGAACACCACCAGCCCCCCAGCTTCCACTGCTGCTACAGTCCCCGTAAAGAAAAAGAGGTACAATGGGCTCACCGTGTCAGCCTCTTGCTGATGTTCTCTCAAGGATCCTTCTTTATTAATTGCTGGACCAGACCCCCACCAAGGCCCCAGGCAGCATTCTGAAGTTGCTCCGCCCTGTCTCCTGGTTCCCTCCTCTCCTTTCCAGGGATCCAATTCTGCTGTCGGCAAACTTCAGTCTTTCCCCCAATCTCCTTTTCAAATATGCCATCTTTTCTCCAGTTCCCCTAGGGTCATGAATATCTAGGTGTTGTTTTTGACGACAGAGCCCAGAGATTCAGGTACCACATTTTAATAGAGTCCTGTACAGGGACTGTCTGACCCTGAAATAATGACCTGTGTGGCCACCATCCACCTGAAACCAGCCTGCCCTGTGGCCGCCGCCTCTGCTCTGTGGACTGGCTGACCCTCCTTCCGAGCAGAGTCAAAGGCGTATCTCCAGAGGGTGACCTGTGCTTGTGTGGTCATTGCCTCTTCCTCCAACTTCTCCTGCGTGGCCCTCCCCTTTGTCCTTGCTGAGTTCCATTCATCTAGTAGGCACAGAGCAGTAGCTGGACCTGTGGTGGCAGAATCTTCTCCACCAGACAGACTGTGGGAAGCGATTTTGTGCATGTTGAAGAGAACACAGTGCTAGTGCATCGTTCCGCTATTGGAAAACACACCTTTGAGAACCTCAATGCTTTGCCTGCACCTAGGATTGTGCCTGGTGCAGGGCGGGCGCTCAGTGTCCGTTGATGATGACCATGGTGCTGCCATAGTCCTCCCGGAGAGAAATGGCTGATTCTGTTTTTCCTGCACATGGAATTCTGTTCGTATCTGCAGAGTCTCAGAAAATGTGGTCATTTTTCTCTTGGACCCAAATTTCACATTGCCCCAACCCTTTGTTGGTTAGAAATAGATTCCTAAGGTAGGAGAAGAAATTTAAGGTCAGTGAGTGCACTCTTGTACCCAGGGCAGGAGTCCTTCCTCTGACAGTCTAGGCCTGGATGCAGGCCCTGGGGCCAGCAGTAGGACTCTCACTCTGTGCGACACCTGTCACTGGCTCTCACGGGTAGCATCTACTACTTCCACTAGGTGAAATCTGCTTTGATTTACTCCCATCTCATCTTGGTTTGGTCCTGTGGTGCCTCAGAGAATACACCTGCTTCAGGAATTTTGTTTTATTTTGTTTTTAGTACGTCCTTTTTAATGACACAAGAAATGCTTAGAGGACAGGCTTTCTCTCGGGAGTGGGACTTCTCTGCCTCCAGACCAAGGTCCTTTGAGTCGGCCCTGGACATACAGGAAGTACAAGGCGAAGGGAGGAAACCCACCAGTCCTGAGGTTTCTGAAGGTTCAGCTTTCAGCACTGGCTGCAAACCTGGGCATTTCACTGCTCCCTTTCCATGACATGTCACATGCTGTTCAAGTTCCCGCTTGCTTCTTAGACAGGACGGAATGCGGCCTGAGTTCAGGCTGCTGAGGACCAGCAGAGCCGACGCACTGGGCACTCCTTTTCCAAATATAAGCCAGATGTTGTTTTCTCCACTGTACATAGCAGGAAGTCTCGATCCTTCCCACTCTAGACAAGTCCTCGTGCTGCAGCTTTGAAGCCCTCGTGGACCACGGTGCAAAGTCAGTTGCTTTTACTGCCCAAGTCCGAAGTCCTGACAATATGGATATTATTCCACCGTGCAGAGCTTCCTATCAGACACTTGGCTTCACTTTTCTCTTGATAATGAGGGATGTTTAAAATGCTCCTGACTGTTGGGTAATAAAAGTCTCATTGTTCTAAGTCTTACTTTCCTTTCTCTCTTGTTTTTTTTTGCTTTTGTTTTTTTAGTTTGACCTCATGATATAGATATCTCCTTCAGGGTGTTTTGAAGAGGGTGGTGAAGGAAACAGGTAGGACTTAGAAAGGAAAAACAGATGTCTGATTGGTGGTTTCTTGCAGACCTTGACACTGCATTGAAAACCTCCGATGTATGTGTGTGAGATTGGGGCCCACCCTGTGATTTCTTTTGTACCTTCAACTTGGTTTTGTGGAAGAACTTTGTTGGTTTGTTTGTTTGTTTATCTACTCTAGTTGGCTTGCAATATTATATTAGTTTTGGGTGTACAGCCGAGTGGTTTGACATTGATATACCTGACAGAGTCATCACCACCTGGCCCCGACATAGTGATGACAGTATTGCTGACTATTTCCCTGTGCTGTTCTCTACATCCCTGTGACCATTTTAACAACCGGCAGTTTGAACTTCTTCATCCTTTTCGCCCCTTTTTCTCATACTCCCCACCCCCTTCCACCTGACAACCATTAGTTTGCTTTTTGTGTTGTTTTGTTTGATCGTGTATTTTGCTTTTTAGATTCCACACAATAAGCGAAATCAAGGCATTTGTCTCCTCTCAGACTTATTTTACGCAGCATGATTCCCCTGAGGTCTACCCATGTCGTTGCAAATGGCAACACTTCATTCTTTTTATGGCTAAGTCATATTCCATTGTATATATGTACCACATCTTTATCCATTCATCTATTGATGGACACCTGGCTTGCTTCCATATGTTGGCTATTGTAAATAATAAATATAGGGGTGCATATATCTCTTTTAATTAGTGTTTTCAATTTCTTCAGACAAATACTCAGAAGTGGGATTGGTGGGTCATATGGTTATTACATTTTTAATTTTTGAGGAGCCTTCATACTGTCTCTATGGTGGCTGCACAGTTTTACATTTCTACCAACAGCACGCAAGGGAGCATCTTGAGAGGGGCCCTGTGTGGGCAGAGGCCAGCCCCATTTGTGCGGGTCCTGGGGCTGCTCGGTGGGAGCTGTTGTGCAAGCTGAGGACAACATCATGTGTGTGGGGCCTGGGGGTGTTTGCAAGAGACTGCGGTGTGCGCAGAGGGTCTGAAGCCCCTGGGAGAGGCTCTGGCTGGGTGAGCGGGTCAGGCAGGGCAGGTCTCGGGGAATCATTGGAATTGGGAAAACAGTGTTAGCCAGGTCAATGGGGAGTGACAGATTCTCCACCTGTGCAGGGACAGCTAGGGAGGAGGAGAGCTCAGCAAAAGAACAGTGGAGCCTGCCAGCACTGTGTCCTTGAGAGAGTTCCCAACAGTCATTGTCCTCACCCTAAAGTTAGTTTAATTCTTTCCCTATTGATCAAGGCGATTCTCCAACTGTTACCTCTGAGCTGGAGCTTAGAGCTCATGACTTTGTGTGCGTACCATTTAAGGTCAATGTCTCAGTTGCCCAGACACCTTTTTCTCTCTCAGACATAGTTCCTGCCAGCTGTTTTGGGGACTTCATTTCCTGGTACAGGTGCCCCCCGCTGAAGAGCCAGGGGTGGGGCTCAGACTTAGTGCTCCTCCTGGAGGACTTCTGAAGCTGAGATATCCCTCCTGTGTATCAATCGTGGGTGTGGGACCTGCCTAGACTGTGTCTCTGTCCCTCTTACCTGTCTTCACGTGGCTTCTTTATATCCTTCAGTACAGGAATTCTGTGCAGCTAGTCTTCGGGTGGTGCTCAGCGATGGTTCTGTAATGTAGTGGCAATGTTGACGTGTTCATGGAAGGAGGTGAACTCAGAGTTTAGCCACTGTGCCACCCTGACTCTGCCTCGTGCTTCAGGAATTTGAAGCCAACTCTCTGTTCTGTCCAGGTCCCTTCTGCTCTAGGCTCTGACACTCTCCCCTAAACAACCTCAGTTCTGGCTCATACCTTTGTCACTTTGGCAGCCCTCAGCTGTCGCTACCAAATAAAATTATGCCCGATAATGGGAAAACATCTTTCTAATTGGGTATATATGTATTCGTATATAAACATATATATATAACATTGAGGTTAGCATTGCTGTGATGTTCATTATGTTGTCAATATTCTTACTTGTCAGAGTTTTCTATCACGATTTTTCTAAAGCCATATTTTGAGTAGAGCATAAGATTATTGTTATTTTTATTATGAAATATGTCAAATATGCAGGAAATAGAGAGAAAAGAAGATATTTTTATGATAAACACCCATGGGCCTACTATCTAGATTTGGAAAACGTTAGTATTTTCCAGATTTCCGTCAGCTTTCTTTTTAAAGGAATGTCCAACTTGTTCAGTGTTAAAGGAAATGGGGAAAGGAGTTCTCGAAGGAGACCAGAGAGCCTGGTATAGGGGATGGTTACTTTCTCTGTTGTTGTTGTTTTATTCTTTTTTAAAAAATTGTTGACAGTATTACAGATGTCCCCATTTCCTCCCCTCCCCCCAGCCCCTGCCCCATCCCAGGCCTTCACCACACTATTGTCTGTGTCCATGGGCTGCACACATATGCAAATATGTTCTCTGGTTAATCTCTTCCCACCTCCCCCCAGCCCCCAAATCTAGGACAGTTACTTTCTAGTACCTTTATAAAAAAGCTTTTATTTTATGTCTGAGGCCTTGTAGAAAAGTCATCTTACTGCCTTTTTTACTCTAATTATTTTCAGCTTTTCCTATAGACTTGTGAGTGGGACCAAGCCTTTCAAGCACCATGCTTATAACTGATGTCATTTCTTAACAGACAGTCCTGGCTCCCACCACCCCCTCCAGGGTATAACGCCACTCCAAGCACAGGAGCAAGCAGAAGGTAAGGGAAAGATGGCAGCCTTGATTGCTATGTCATTTGAGGGGAGAATGTGTTAGATATTGACAATGAATAACTCTGGATGCTTTGGAATACACTGGAGACAATTTTGTGAACTCTGAGCATGAAAAAGACAGTGCTCGCTGGGAGGGAGGCCAGGGTACAAGTGCCCTGGTCAGAAATCTGACAGGCTGTAAGGGGTAAGTAAGTAGCAGTATCGGTTTGCTAAGGGCTGCTGTAACCAAGTACCACACACTGGGTCACTTAACAAAAATGTACTGTCTCATAGTTCTGGAGGGTAGAAGTCCACAATCAAAGTGTCAGCAGGGTTGGTTCCTTCTCAGGACGAGGAGGGAGAATTTGTTCCATGCTCTCTCCTAGCTTCGGGTGGTTTCCTGGCGATCTTTGTCCCTCCCTAGTTTGTATGGCCATCCGCCTGAGCTCTGCCTTCATTTTCACAGGATGTTCTCCTTGTGTGTGTCAGTGTCCAAAGTTCTCTTTCTTATAAGGACACCAGTCATGTAAGATACGGAGCACATTCTACTCCCAATGACCTAATCCCAACTTCACGAATTACGTCTGCAATGAGCCTATTTCCAAATGAGGTCACATTCTGAAGCACTGTGTTGGGGCTTCAACATATGAATTGGGGGAGGGGAGGCACAACTTAACTCATAAGCACGGCAGAGGAGAGAACAGTCGAGCACCAGGTGGGCCTCCCGTGTTGGCTCCTGGTGCACAGCAGCTTCTAGTCTGTCGTGAGCCCAGATGACTGTATGGGGGCAGGTGTGGCAAGTTCTCTGTAAAATATAAGCGATAGATGAGTATTTTCTATTTTTATTTTGTGTTTGTTGAGAGCAATAGTTAAACTAAATTATAGACCATGTTGGGGACAGCTTGTTCTACAATTTTCCTACAGGAATGCCAGCAACAGTTTAATGTAACAAATACTGAATAAGTGATTACTGTGCACCGGGTGTGGTTCTAGGATCTTGGGATGTATCAGTGAACAAAGCATGGAGTCTACACTGGCCTTCAAAGAAGCAGACACAAGTGTGGACACTCCTATAACCTATGTCCTCACTAACATGTGAAGAAAACAGGTCTCCTGTTTGGTTTGACTTTAGGGTGTCTGAAATTGTTTTCATATTTTCAACCCCTAGAATATTTTTACCAGTATTCCCATGTTTCAATAGGACGTATTTTCCCAAATTTAGCAATTAATGAAGAGATTTACTGAATGATGTACTTGTTTAATATTTGATTGTTTTATTTCTTAAAATTTTCATCTGCTGTGCAGGCTTTCAATGTCTCTTTTATTTCCAAATAATAGAAATATTTGAAAATAAGTGTCTTTATTGAAATTAAGTTGGATCTATAAGGATATAAGCTTTAGTTCAGGAACAGACACAAAGAACTGAAGTGGCTTTTCTCATACCTGTTGTTGTATCTGTATGTGTATGTGTGTATTATATTATTTATAGCTATTATAACATATACATGTTTTGTTTTTTTAATTGACTTTAGAGAGAAAGGAAGAGAGAGAGAGAGAGAAAGAGAGAGAGAGATGCGGAGTAGTCACAAGTTGAAATTATATCCACCTTCTGTTAAAATGCTTTTTTTAAAACCCTGCTCATCAGTAGGTGATATCCAATTATATGAACTGCCAAGAATGGATTATATTTATAGTTTCAAACCTTCTCTCCCCTCTAGCTGTGATTAGAGATTTCTCAATAAGTGATACCTTTTTCATGGAGCTACCTAAGTGGGGAAATTTTTAACTAGGAGTTTTACTGGTTGTTATTGTTTCCCGAATATTGTAAGATCCATCTAACTTTGACATGATAAACAAAAACTAGTACTTAGAAACATATATTACTTATTTCCAAAGTAACCTCTTATTTTTGTCTTCTAGTTGGTATTTCAATATTAATGTTAACGATCATTGTAATAAGCAACTGGTTATGTAACTGTGTGAAAATGTGGAAGGATTATTCATGAGTTGGCATCTCACGTTTGCAATGCCCGTTGAGCTCATGGGTCTCTGCACGGAGCTGACAGCTCTTGGCTGTGTGCCCTGACCATGAATGCATTGCTGGGTGTGATTTACATGGAAGATAAAAATGCTCCTGTTTCTGAGTCCTGGCTCAGACCCATAGCACCAGAACTGGGGAAAAGAGAGGATGATTGGACTAGGTTGATCAGTTAGATATGCGTTCCCTTTATAGAGCACAGATTATTAATATAATGGTTAAGCTGAAAGACTTCTCTGTGAGGATCAGAGCCAATGTCATGCCAAGTTTTTGGAGCAAGAAGAGCGTAATCACAATATAGCAATGCCTTTGATTTCTAAAGTGCTTTTCTTTGGAACAGCTCAAAGTACAGCTTCTGTTTCTCACCTTTAATACCGGTGCATTCCTAGGGTTGAGAAATAGCCTTTTTAGTAAAAGCTGAAAAATAGAAGCAATTATTAAATGATGAAAGAAAGCAAAAGCTTCAAAAAGAGATCTTTGTTCCCAAAGAGCTCAAAGAAATGAAAATAGGTCAAAAACAGATTAAAAATATTATTTTTAAAAATTCTCACCTGAGGATATGTTTTGTTTTTTAATTGACTTTAGAGAGAAAGAAAGGGGGGAGGGAGAGAGCGAGAGAGAGCGAGCGAGAGAGAGAGAGGCATCAGTATGAAAGAGAAACATCAATCAGTTGTCTCCTGTACATGCTATGACCGGGAATCAAACCTGCAACCTTTGGTGTACGGGATGACACTCCAATCCATTGAGCCACTGGGCCAGGGCAAAAATATGATTTTTTAAATTCTAGCTAATACTTCAATGCTAATCTTATTTTCCTTTATCTTTCACTTATATACTGGCTTTCTTCTCCCTTTTCTCTACCATCCCATCTTTGGGAAAGGAATTTTCCATCGATACTGACTCTCTTCATCTCGGCTTTGTTTTTCCCTTTGTGAACCTTCATTTTTTTTCCATCGTATAATTTTTCCAGAGATTTCATTTCTCCCACACACCCCTGTCTGTGAGGCACATTTGAAAAGATCATCGGACTTCCCAGTCATTATAGGAATGAATATTTTTTACTGAATGTTTTAACCCTTGATCTTTGAAACCATGGGCCACCCCACCCCCTTCATTGTTCATGTCTTGACTTATATAGTGTGGGACAATCAAATTTAGTTGTGTTTGGATTGAAATCTAATACAGGCATACTATAAGTAAGCTTCACCCAAAAGGTCTCAAACTTTTATTTATTATTATTATTAACAGAAGAATCTATGATATCATACCTTTATTCATATTTATATGTATACCTATAAGTCTGTGTTTATGTGTATATCTATTTTTATATCCACATCTATATCTATGTGTAATACTAGATATTCAATTAATATAAGGCTGGTGAATTCAGAGCTTAAATGATAAAATTTAATATTCTAAAATAACCTTAAATAATAGCCAAAGAACAAAAGCAATTTCCTAAAATTAGTATAATTTTATGTATGCTATACATTAGTTTTTCAGTGAAAGGGTTAAGAGCTGTGTGATCAAACAAAAGTTTGGAGTTAAGAATTGAATCATGTTGAAAGCCTCTTACCCCCTTTTTGAGAAAACAAGATTAAAGAGAGGAGTTGTAATTCACATTAGCAAGACATAGCATGCACAGTCGGGAACTCGGATGCAACCTCTTCTAGCTGATTTCGAAGGTAGCTCCTTGGGCACCGGGATATACATGTTCTCTGACCTCCTCTTTCTTCTCTTGCTGAGAAGAGCAACAATCAGCATAATGTTTCAAATGAGCAACCTATTTCAACAAAATTATTTTCTCCAAAATCTTCTCGCAAAGGCCATCCAAACCTATTGTTTCTTTTTATTTTAATCAAGACTGAATCAAGATTTCAACTAGTCTTCATTACATGCATCTGTCTCTCTTCCTACCTCTCTGATCAAACCCCTGCTTCACTGTTTTTCTCCCTTTTCCGTGTTCAAATCCCTTTCATCCTAAAAATTAGCAGCCCAATCATACACACACACACACACACACACACACACACACACACCTCACAAAGTTCTCAGAAGCATTGATGATACTTTCCTTCTTCATTTTCTGATTCCAGCCACAGTTAGTTCATGGTAACAGCTCTCCCAGGATCGCTAATGACCTTGCTGATAAATTCTGTTTGAGGGATGGGTCCCTGTGACACGTGACCTTTCAGAAGGCTCCGCTGGCTTTTCACAGCTTTCGAGGTCTGTAGTTTTTTGAGAACCCCCCCCCCCACCACCACCACCACACACACACTCCTGGATTTTCTTTTATTTCTCTAGCCATTCTTTCTCAGGCTCCTTTACTACCTCATCATCCTCTGCGAAGCCATGAAACGTTGATGTTCCTAAAGTCTCCAAGTTTCTCTTCTCCTTCTTCTGAGTCTGTGCCCTGACCTTCCACTGCGTCATCCATGTCCGGGACTCTACTGGTCATTTGTATGCTCCCGACTCCTCCTTTTATGTGCATTCCATGCCCACGCTGAGTTACCTTTGGACAGCCCACTGCCTACCCCACACCTTCCTGTGAATATCCTATGGGTACTGCAAACCCAACATGTTCAGAATGAAATTCCTAGCTCTGCACATTAACCTGGTTCTCTATGTCAGTCAGTGCTACCCTTCAGCCAGGCAGCACCACTGAAAACCTGAAGTTATTTTTTATACCTTTCCAGTCTTAACCACCGATATTGACCCCACCAATAAGTTCTGTGGGTTTACTTCCCAGATGCCTCTTGAATCTATATACCTCCTTCCATTTCCATCATCACAGTGCTCCTGGACCACAGCTGCAGCTACCTAGTCTCCCTTCGACGCTGATACCCACTTCCCTGATCTCTTCTTTACACGGAGTGATATTTATAAAATGTTAATTAGAACATTATCACGTCTCATAACAATTGTGACTTTATTCTTAGAATAAAGATCCAGTCCTTAGCACTGAAGCCA